TGGGATACGGGTAAGGTTAGGGACAGGTTTGGTGGTATGGGTAGGTTTAAGGGTGGGGTAAGGTGTAAGGGATGGGTCAACTGTGTAATTATAAATGTAATTACAGAAATTAATTACAGATGTAATTACATGCAGGTATTTTTAAAATATAAGTACAATGTCAAAACATGCATGTACACAATAAGTGCATTGTACCAAATTATTAATTTAAATGTAAGTACATAGTTGTTAAGGCCACTTAATATAAAGTGGGTCCCCACCTTATTCCTAAACACATAAGTAAGCCTATATGGGCAAGACTTCCGGTTCATTAGCCGCTATAGGGAAATAACGAAAAGAATAACAATGTGCAGTAAACGGTAAAACTGCTTGCACTACAAACCAGTGTGTTCATAATGAAGATAATACACTAAAATAATATGATAAGACACACCAATTTGCAATTAGGTTTTGTATAGCTAAAAATAGCTTGGAAGCAAATAAGACCGGAAGCAAGTTTACAAATTGCAAATTTACATTTTTACGGGAAGAATAAGGTTATAGTTTCTTGCGCAGACCGACTGTTTCGCTTCATAAGACTTCAATATATCATCAGGAGACACGGGTATTAATTTTGTGTTGCCCGATGTTTTTTTGACTCTCAAAATAACGGTAGCGTTGACTTTTGCATTTTATGAATCACCAACCAGAGTTTCAGCTAAACATCTTCTTTAATGTTCTATACTCAAGAAAAAAAGTCACATACATCTTGGATGGCCTGAGGGTGAGTAAATAAAAAATTTTTTTTTTTTTGGGTGAACTACTCCTATAATCCGAGCAGGTTTAGACAGAGCAGCAGATAACAGAGTGAGAGTTAGTAATAAGCAGAAGAGGTTAGAGGAGGAGGAAAGTTACAACCATTCAGTATTCCTACAAACACAGACCATTCTCTCTTCAGATACAGGCACTGAAGAAGCACAGCTGTGTTTGCTGAGCACTGAACATGGAAGGAAATCTGCTGAATTAAGGACACATCCGGAAGGAAAGACATGAAGACGCAGAGGACATAGGAAAGTACAGATGTCATGACATTTATTCAAGGCATGCTACAATTAAAGTTGATTAGGAAAAACGTCAGCAGGGTGGGTAATAAGAATAAGAATAATAACTCTAATAATGAGTATGCATAATAATAAGCCATTCATAAACAGAAAAAAAAAACACTTTCTACAAAAAAATACAAAGAAAATCTCCACTCAATCATGCACTGCAAAAATTAGAAAATATGTTTCTTTAATAGTTTATCTTCTATTTGCATTTATTACATCAAACTCATAAACTGGATACGCTCATGTCTCTCCCCAATTCCCACAAGTCACATAAACGGCTTTACAAATGAAAGCTGGTACTGGTATGATATCAAAATACAGAAGACAAATTGTGTTTTTATGTTAATTTCCATAAATATAAAAACCAGTTCATATTGGTGTGTGTGTATCTTGTTCCCCGAAACCATTTTTTGGCCAGGTTAAAAAATAAAATAAAATAAAATAATAAGGGAACACATATGTACAGACAGCATTTGTTTCCTTTTGGTAGTGAAACATTCATAAAAACTATAAATTAGATATTTCATTGCGTGTCAAAGCATCCCGAGTTCAACTCAGGCATTTCTGTATGTGCGCTGTGCTTGAGCGACACCTCAGTTTGCTAATTTAGTCTAGCCCCTCCCTTTAATGCAAATTAGACAGTTCAATTAGCATAATTATAGCCCATAAATTTAGTCATGAGAAGAAAATAGAAAGCATTATGGCTGAAATTTAAAGATTAGATCGTAAGGGTCAATTGCATCATAATAAAGCAATAAAATATTTCAGTCTGAACAGTGCTGCATTAGTTCCAATTCAATTAAATCCTTTGGTTTCAGTGGTTAGTTTGTTGTTATGGTCTCGTATGCTTTAGAGTAAAGCTTTTTAATGGAGTCGATGACGATATCAGCAAAAAGTGTAACCGCTTATCCGTTTTACAGATCGTGGCGTCTATCCGGAGCAGTTCATGAAATACAGAAAGCGAAAGGCGGTTCGAATGAATCCATAAGGGCCTGGTAACACATTCAGTATCACAAATGAGTCTCGTTTGACGGGGGGAAGGATATGGCTTGACCTTTCTGAGGGAAACGAACAGAACAGACTGCGGGACACTCGTAACATGATCGAGAGTGGAAAATACAAGAAGTTTGTTGGTTTCTGATATACAGCCAGGAAATAAGTTACAAATAAGCTAGATGAAAGGCACATAAACTTTGGTCCTGCATTATTTGTGACTTTTTCAGTAAAAAACCTGGAAAAAACCATACACGTGTGTAACTGTTCGCGTAAGCGCGGATATCGATGAGAAAATGTCTTACAACACAGCGGAACGTTGTTGCCTGAGTCAAGACGTGGTTGGAAAATGTTACGCTTCGAGAAACAAAAACGAATGACTTCTTGTGACTTCTGTGACACGTTTATGGAGTCTGGCTTTTCTCCTGTTGATAAATAAAAAGCATCGCAGCCGGAAGCAGATCGACTTCGCGTCTATTTCGCCTTCCGAGCACTTCTGACGGACCTGACCTCTAGCGATCGCTCTCGTTCCCGTTTGCACACATCGGTGGATGTTACAGACCCAGAACTGCTGTTGTGAAGAGGCAGAGTGACAGACAACAATCTTGAACCAGTTTTCACACTCTTAATAAAGAAAATCAACAAACCCCAAAAAAAGAACAAAAAGTATCACAACAGAGCAAGAACGAAACAGGCCAAAACCCCTAAAATGAATCAATTATAAGATACAGTAAATAAGATACAACTCCAAAACACACAGGCGGAGGCCTCAGACATCAGCATCACGCATCAGCATCATAGCAAAATGGAAGGCAGACCTGAACACTTAGAGCGAATGCTGTGGGCTTCTGGGTCTCTGTGCGCTTGTTCCGAGGCAAATTTAGACTGATCGTATGTATTAGGAGTTTCATAATCATATTAGAATGACAGAACAGAGATGATATCAAGCAGATCACACTGTATGATATAGTCCAGATATTGATTTCAGAGTGGTCCTTCGCCGGCATCGCATTATGGTTTGTGGGAGGTTGCCAGAATGCTGCTATATGGTTGCTGAGATGTTCGGAGTGGTTTTAATGCGTTGCTATGCGGTTGCTAGGGTGCTCTGGTGGTTGCTAGGTGGTTACTTACTGGCCCAAAGTAAAAAGAGCCCACCTCCAAATCTCAAGATTAGTGGTCGACCCATATAGATTTTTTTGATGGCCGATATCTTAGAGAGCATGGTGGCCGATATAAAGCCGATATATCACCACACTATTTCATTTAAAGATAGTAAAACACATGCATAACAATTGCTAAAATTAAATTTATATTTATTTTACATAATATTTACTGAATTTTATCATTTGAAAATTAATAAATATGAAAAAATTTACTTAATTAAAAATAAATCTGTAAAATAAATACTTTTAATTAGATGGTCATTTTTTATGCAGTCAACAAATGCACATTTCAGAGGATCTCACAGCTGAATTCAATAAAATTTGCAAGGTTAGTCAAATTTACTACATACTCAAAGACTTTAGTTTAAATTAATTGTGTATTTGCTGACACTTGATGAGGAAGTATTATAGTGTTTGCTTTTCTGTTACCAATAATAGAAAAGCAAACGCTATAATACCGTTTAGTATGGTACTGTGTAATAATTTATTATTCAGAACTGGTAAACTAATGAAGATGGAGGACGGGAGCTGTGTGCGTTTAAGCACTGACGTTCTCAGCGCTGTCAGAATAAATGTCCCGCGCGCCATCAAAATAAAAGTCTTCTGAAATATCGGGTAAACAGGAATAAAAAAAAAGCCAAATATCGGCCGATATATCGGTCGACCACTACTCTAGAAACAACTTGGGTGGCTCCTTTAATGTAAGTCACTGGGAATTTTTTTTTGCCCGTTTTAGTATTCGTCTGGCAAAAAAGTGTGATCACTTAGAAAAGAACAAAAACTTCACAGATGTGCTCATAACAGCTCAAATTCATACTATTTAATCAGAACAATACGCAAGCTTACAGCAACCTCTGTCTTCGAGCGCGAAATATTTATATCAGAGATTGAGGAACATTTTTTGGCCTAGAAAGGCTTTATGTAACAATGGTACGCGGGTCTAGCATACATATGTACACACACACACACACACACACACATCAGCGAGGGAGAATAGAGACCCACAGCATGCTCTGAACATCGTTGAGTTCACCGTTCATTTTTCTAATAAGAGCATTCACAGCACCATACATCATAACTTACATCTCATTTCATATTAAGACCACATGGTACTGAGTCCCCACAAAAATGCACATCTATAAGAGCTACACAACAAAAAAAATAAAAATAAAAATCAAGATCAAAATAAATCAACCCTCTCACCAATCCCACAAAATAGTACATAAGATATTTTAGGTAAAATTTCTAAAACCTATTTGATTATGAACACATAATAAGGCACGTAATAAGAAATTAGGTAAATACACAGTAAATATGATTTTTTTTTTTTTATGATTTCTTGAATGATTATAGTGGTACAAAAACCCGATGAGGTTTTAAATTAGATTTTTTTTTGCACATCTATAAGAGCTACACAACAAAAAAAATAAAAATAAAAATCAAGATCAAAATAAATCAACCCTCTCACCAATCCCACAAAATAGTACATAAGATATTTTAGGTAAAATTTCTAAAACCTATTTGATTATGAACACATAATAAGGCACGTAATAAGAAATTAGGTAAATACACAGTAAATATGATTTTTTTTTCACCATGATTTCTTGAATGATTATAGTGGTACAAAAACCCGATGAGGTTTCAAATTTGATTTTTTTTTCTCTTCCATAAAAAAGAACAAATTACCAAAAATAAGTAACTTTTTTTTTTTTCTCAAAAAATCTTGACAATCCTTAAGATATATAGACCTGAATAGTTTTGCTTTAAGACTGTAAACTTCAACAAAATTCAATTTCTTTTGAGAAGTGAAAGCGAAGTTTCGAATCGCTTCAGGTGAAATCAGTCAAAGACAAAAAAAAGTCACTATCCCTTGCCTTGCATGAACATGAAGATTCTTGATTTATTTCATAACTGTGACTCAAACGGATATTAATAGAGGATATAGCACACAGGCACAGAAGCTGCTCCCTTTAGATGCTACTCAACAGGTCTACGGTGACCTTCCTTGGAATGTTAAGGCCAGATTTTCACTAAATGAGACAGCGCCTTGCTCGCACGCACAAGGGAGTCATCATATATCATCATATATGAGAGAGTCCTGATAAAACCGGTAATAATACACTAGTACTAACTAAACGCATACATATAGAATCAGCTTCTGCATGTGCACACCATTGCCATGTTCCAAAACCTAGTGAGCTGTCTACTTAGACAGCATTTTAAGGCATCACAGGCATGCTCCCGGCACAAAGGCTGTTCCAGCCTTCTAAGATATCTAATTTTGGCCAAAATCTAAGGCAGCATTGCATGTATCCTTTGTGGATAAGGCAATCCCAGAATGCACTGGGAAGCTCATTCAAGATGGTGGGCGAATCAAGGCAAATGTCGATTATGAATAAACGTATAATTTCCTGAATACAGAAAAATATACATTTGTTTGATTAAAAATGGTTTATTTTGACTGCAGTGGCGATGTTTCGTATGAGGCCAAATACCCTAAAATTGAATCAACTGATTCAGGAGTTAGCATGTAGCTAAGCTAATGTTGCAATAACCTGTGTATAAACATAAAGCACACGTAAATATTGAGCATTTTCTATGTATTTTTACATTTACATAGTGTGTGATATTTGTCGCAGTGCACTGCAACATCTCTAGACTGTCTATAGTTAATAAAGCCAAAGTTCCAAATTTGTCCATTTGTCCTGTTGTCGGAAGTAGCACAAAAGCACAGATTACATCAGAAATAGTGCCGCATCTAACGTAGACAGAAATGGGCTCTTTTTATTTTGTACTGCATTATCAGCTTTGCAACATGCTAACATCTAACTGAACTAAAATCAATAGAGTCCTCCAATGCCAGGCTTCAAATGCTGCTCGAAACTCGTAATGTATCAATTTTTGAATGGAATCTATGGAGGAAATGCTAGTTTTGGTGTGAGCTATATTTGGATCTTGCTGCCAAAAAATCCACAGGATTTTGATGGTCTCCGTCAATGATTATTGACTGTTGCAAGTATTTCCATGATGTCAAGGTCTTTGTGTGATTGGCTTACAAGATTCATCTAAGTTGACCGTTTTTTTCCCCAATGATACAGACTCAGAGTTTACCATCTCCACCTCTCGAAGAAAACCTCTGGTCTGGACTCTATTGGAGGCGTGCAGCAGCTCGCTAGGTTTTGGAAACTAGGTGGCGTCTCCATATCATTCAGAGTCGCTCTTTCCTTAAATATTTGGTTTGGTCAGATGCAGAGGCATTTAGTGTGGGACTGCAAGGCAAAAGAGAGTGCCGCCCTCTTTTTTTGCTGTGACTCAATGGGCTTCACTACAGTTTCTACAGAGCCCATGGCTGCAAACTCTCACACCTGTGGCCAGAGCCGAGGAGTGAAAGAACAAAGTAAAGAGCACAGAACCTTCTGCCCCTGTGTGGAAAGATGGAAAACAAGAAGAACGAAAGGAAAAGACTCAACTAAGAGCAAGAAGGGGAACAGAATGGAGGAAATCATCAATTTCCCATCGAGATCACGGGCTATACCATTCACATTGAGAATTTCACTTAGGAGGCGGAGCCTACTATCAGGCTGGGCATTGCTGATTGGTGCGTTCCAGTAAGGTTGACAGCTGGCCGCGAGTTTTCTGGAATGATCGTGCATGTTTGAAAATGTTCGCCCCGGTTCAGAGGAACCCAATCGACTGGACAATGACATTGCAGATGTTCTCTGACAGCATTGCAGGTGCAGAGAGCCCACGAAAGGCTCTATAATATGTATTATAAAATTTTCATAATACAAGAAAAAAACAAATCACGCCATTCACTATCTATTCACAGATGCCTACCATCTGGCTATACATCTTTGCACAGTAAACAGATATGAGGATGCCAAACATTCCCCACGGTGCCTGTCTTCAATTCAAATCAATCAAAGTGCCGAGAAACAAAAGGTTTGTAAGCCGAAACAGCTGCGAATTTTGAATGCACTCATTCTTGAATCCATAGCACTCTTGTTTTAATGCTACTCTGAAGAAAAAGGACAAGCCCATTGGTCGAGGCCGTCGCTACAGATTCTTTTTTTTTCCAGCAGCACCTTGATGATGACGTCAGCGACATTCAAACGGTGACTGTGCGTTCAACACATCCCACGGGAAATGGGACGCTCCGTTGAAACAGCCAATGAGAATGAAGGTGTCGTTTTTTGGGGGCGGCACAGAGGAGACTCCGCCCTCACTTAGGTCTGGTGTAACAAGGCCATTGGGCTACAGGAGCGTCAGTCTCCAATGTAATCGGCAAGTGTGCGGTGAAGAAACTTTCTCAGCATTGACTTTTTTGAGAATGTTCACGTGTTAGTTTGCGTTTCACATCAACGAAGTCCTCGCCAATCGACTAAAGAGGGAGTCCTACTTCCTCCACACGGAGGTTCCCAGAAACGTCACATTGTCATGGATATCCCATGTGTCTCCAGCCCTGGTTTCGTGAGAGTAAAACAAACTCACTCTCAGACTGTCTAAAGGTTCTGCAGTAGTCTCTTATTTGCTTTTTTTCTTTCTTTTTTTGTTTTTTTTTGTTTGGAAATCTCTAAAACTACCTCATGAATATCTGTAATGTTTTTTTAGAGTTTGTCAGTCAGTCTTATTCTCTGAACGAAACAGTCAGACTGCTGAAGGTAGAAGGGCTGGTATGGGGAGGATGGGGAAAGGGTGTGTTTGTAGTGAAGGGGGTGCTAGATGGTGGATTTGGAGAAGGACACTCGCAGATGGTGGTTTTCTCCCAGGTCGTGGTTGTGGAGGTCGATAAGAGCCTGGATGGCTTCTTCCACCGAACCCAGCTGGATCAGTGCCATCTTGCGGTCCTTCCTATTAATCATATATGGATAATGAAAATCAGACACTGGGTGATCCTGAAATTTAGGACCAGTTGGTCCAATGAGAAAGAAAATGTAAAAATCTTTTGATCACATTTGTGTTGGTTTAGAATGGTTTTGAAAAACATTTACAGCATTTCCAACAAAATTGTTTCAATGACTGCTCTAGTTTTAATGACTACTCTAAAATTGTCATGTGGGGTAACCATCAACTAAAAAGGTATATTACAAAAAACACAACTTAAAGGGATAGTTCACCCAAAAATGAAAATTCTGTCATCATTTACTCAAGTGAAGAATGTTGGTAACCAAACAGTTGCTGGTAGCCATTGACTTCCATAGTATTTTATCCATACTATGGAAATCAATGGCTACCGTCAAATGTTTGGTTACCAACATTCTTCAAAATATCTTCTTTTATGTTCAACAGAAGAAAGAAAGTTATTAGTTAATGATGACAGAGTTCTCATTTTTGGGTGAACTATCCCTTTAAACAATGTAAAAAAGGAATGTCCTTTTCTGCTCCTAGAGGGCCACCTAGCTACACATGCTTCCCTAGCAAACTTAAAATCCCTGTTCACTTTTTAGAAGATCATATAGACAGTGTTTATAACATTCCATTTATGTGTTTTCACAAAACAACTCATCCTTATCGGCCATGTTGTCTTGAAGAAAGGTACAAGCAGACTCTTCCCCGTGTGAACAAATACTTCTTAAAATAAATGAAGGCTGAGAACAAAAACAAATGTGAAGAGAACTCACTGGAAAAACTTGAAGGCCTTGACTGTGTATCCAGAACTGGCAAACAGGTCTTTCAGAAAATCATCCGTAGTGGAGGGACTGCAAAACACAGTGTTTACAAAGGACAAAAAATAGCACCTTATCTGATGCCAACAATAATGCAAAACTTCTAGTGGAGTCAAACAACCGCTAGTATGATAATATGTGTGGGGCGATATGAATAAAAATCATATATCATGGTATAAGTAATTTTACAAAACTGTAATATTATGCATCACAATGATGTTTCTTTTTCTGGAAATTCAAACAACAAATGTTTTATATATTGCAATGCAGCCAATGTCTATTTTTCTGGTGACCCCCTTCCCCTAATTATGCTTAATTAAGTTAGTCCAGCAAAACTGGGTTGTTTTTTGTAGCAGTTTTGTAACATGCTGTATTGAGCGTGTGGTGCCCGATGTGTGGGTGTGTGCCAGTCACTCACGGGATATTTGAGAGGTGCAGGGTGGCGGAGGGAGGGAAGATGTTCTGGAAGTTCTTGGAGCCGGGCTTTTTGAAGCGGTGCAGCGGGCTCCCACTGAAGTCTTTGGTCAGGCCCTGGTCCTCCTGACCCTCCCTGGGGAGCTGCACCGTCTGGTGCTTTGAGATGGTCACACGGATCACCTTACCGTGCAGACGCTGACCGTTCAAATGGCTCATCGCTTCACAAACAAACCCAGAGATAATGTGTTACAGATAAGCTTTAACCCTGAGACACATCATATTACACTTACACTGAACAAATCTTTTTCTTACATTTGAACAACAAAAACTCATGCATAAGAGTTTTTTCCCCAACATTTTTCACTCATACTCACACACATACATTTTGGCTTCATTCATAAAACACAAGCAGAGAGCGAAGTTCTGAGTAAATCATTTTGTTATAAAATGTAAACAATTACTGTATCAAATTTTGAGGAATTCATTGTTAGGTAAATGTGTGTAAATCAATAGCAAAACCATGCCTACATAAATTCCTGTGTAAATCATATATGAAGCCATTCTTATGTCAATTTCTGTGAATAATTCACCAAACCTTTTTATGTAAATTTGTGTAAATCTTTTAGAAATTGATTTATACATAAATGTACTGTATAAAACATTGATACAACCATTCTTAGGTTCGTTTCGTTGTAAATTAATAACAAAACTATTCTTAAACTTCTACTAACAATGAACTGTACATTTTTCACAAAACCATTCTTACCTTAATTTAATTTAAATCAATAGCAAAACCATTTTTACATAAATTTCGGTGAAAATTGTGCATAAAATCATTCTTATGCAAATTTCTTTTAATAGTTTTGTGAAACATTTTAAAGTAAATTTGTGTAAATTACTTGCAAATTGATTCAAACACAAATTACTGTATAAAACTTTGATAAAAACAAAGTTAATTTTTTGTAAATTAACAGCAAAACTATTCTTACATAAATTTCTGTGTACTGTACATTTTTTTGCAAAATCAATATTATGTTAATTTAAGTCGATGGCAAACTTCCTAAAAAAAAAGATTTCCTACTGTAAATATATCAAAAATTTTGATAAGTAATATGCATTGCTAAGAACTTCATTTGGACAACTTTAAAGGCGATTTACTCAATATTTAGCTTTTTTTTTTGCACCCTCAGATTCCAGATTTTCAAATAGTTGTATCTCGGACAAATATTGTCCGATCCTAACAAACCATACATCAATGGAAAGCTTATTTATTCAGCTTTCAGATGATGTATAAATCTCAATTTCGAAAAATTGACACTTAAGTCTGGTTTTGTGGTCCAGGGTCACATTTTGTAAATTTCTGTGCACTGTACATTGTTCGCAATTGTTTCGTAAATTTCTATGTAAATCATTCTCAAAAACACAAAATTTACACGCAAATAATGTGCAAAATCTAAGTGTAAATTGTAAATGTAGAATTTGATATGAAAGTTTACACAAGAATGTTTTCACAAGCAATTTACACATTAATTTTTTCATCCACTCCTAAACAATTCAGGCCGACAACCACCATGCACCTTTGCATTAAATCAATAATTAAATAAATAAATCCATGTTTTTTTGTTTATAGCTACGAGACAATAAAACATCATTATCAAGCATCGCAATCTGCAATCAATCAATACTTCAGAGCATTCGCTCCTGCATTTAAATATGGTTATCACAACCAAACCTTTGCAGTGTGTACAAGTCCTTTCATTTCTCTTTGCACCATTTCATAATCTATTATTAAATTGCATCAGAATATTCCTATGTATCTAAATTATGAGACATTTAGTAGAAAAAAAAATGCAATCTTTATAAATATTTCATTCATGGTTCTGGCTACATCCACCAGCGATACAACCAGATTGATTTGTAGCTTTAACACAGACACAGAATACGCCGATAAAGACGCCTGATCAAAGAATGAAGAGAATGTATCGAGATGAAAAGGATTTCAGTGTAATGCCTGGCGTACCGAGCTGGGCTTGCGTGGCGTCTGCCATCTGTATTAAGGCATTCTCTTTCTTGTTGAACAGAATCTTGACTCGGTGAACATCTCCATACACTCCTGCCGGGATAAAAGAGAAATTTAGACTGTTCATGCTCAAACACGCCGTGAACACAATTTACAGCAAATAACCCGCTATCTGCCGATCTCAGTGTTTCATTATTGAAGGCAGAGGGCGACAGTAACTCCTCACATGCTCAGATGAGCAAACATTTTAAAGGATATCACTCACACTAAGGTCTGTCTCTGATGTTGACAGTTATTAAATTGTAGGGACAATAACAATGGCTCACACTGAGCGTGTGTATGGGAGAATCTGAACATTCATATGACGGGTCACAATCTGCAAATAATCTCCCGACTGTGTGTTTGTAAGGAAATGGTCTCATCGCTCAGCTTCTATCCTCTACTGCCTTCATAAAATCAGCCGTCTGCTCATCTAATCTGGAAGAGTAATAAATTCGTCCTTACCGAATAAAATGAAGAGCCCGTGTGGTGTTATGCTCTGCAAGAGATGGGACATTATCATAGAGATCACTCAGTACTGAAATGTAAAAAGCGCTGGAAAAAGATGAAATGAGTATGTGTAAAATGTATGAAGAAACATTAATAGATGTGGTGATTGACACTGATCACTTCAATGTGAGTGCTGGTCACTAACGCTGCAGAATTAAATGAAGAAAGTGTCTTGTGACATCAATTGCTGAGACTGAATAAAGATGCATGAAAATAGGTTTGGATTAGCTCATATGACGAGAAAAAAGACTGGAGGGAATCACTGTAAATGCACTGATATTTATGGTCAGTGAGTGTTTATACTCCTATCATAGTCTCTGTGCAATACTATAAGCAAAGTAATGGCTCAGATTAGTCCAATAGACCTATACATACACGTACATTTTTAACAACAAAAAAGCATTTTATGCAAACATACATACCAGAAAAAAACTACAAATAAGTGTATATTTATACCATTATATATTTTATATAAATAAGAAAATAGATATTCCACAAAAATGTGAAGCAGCACAACTGTTTTCAACATTGATAATATTAATAAATGTTTCTTGAGCAGCAAATCAGCAAGCAATATTACAATGTTTTCTGAAGTATCATGTGACACTGAAAACTGATGCTGAAAATTCAGCTTTGATCACAGGAATAAATGGCATTTTACTATTTATTCACATAGAAAACAGTTATTTAAAATTGTAATAATATTTCACAATTTTTACTGTATTTTTGATTAAATAAATGCAGTCTTGGCGAGCAGAAGAGACATCCAAAAACTTAAAAACAAATTATATTATATATAATAATAATAATAATAACAATTATATATATATATATATATATATAATTTCTGGATGACAGTATCTAGATATGTAGTCTAATTATCAGTATCATCCATAAAAAACAATATTGGTGTCAACATGTAAAATAATAATAATAATAATCATCATCATCATAATGTTCATAATAATAATATTAATTATTATTATTATTTAGGCAAGTTATAATACTATTAATTAGGAATTAGGGTTATTATTACAATGAACTAACCCTTAAAAACATTCTTGTAACTAGAAATAAAATAAACAAACAGAAAGGAAAAAATACATATATTTCAGAATATATATTTTCTTTTAGATTAACTTGATGTACTAATATAACTAAAAATTTCAAATGAATAAAAACTACACAGACATAAATAATAGAAATGACAAAAACAACAAAATGTCTAAAACTTTAAAATGAAAAATAGAATATAGACAGAGAGACAGACAGAGACAGACAGATAGACAGACAGACAGATAGACGGACAGATAGATGGACAGATAGATGGACAGATAGACAGATAGATGGACAGACAGACAGACAGACAGACAGATAGATAGATAGATAGATAGATAGATAGACAGACAGACAGACAGACAGACAGACAGACAGACAGACAGATAGATAGATAGATAGATTAGATACATAGATGGATAGATGGATAGATGGACAGACAGACAGACAGATAGACAGATAGATAGACAGATAGATAGATAGATAGATAGATAGATAGACTGATTCAGAATTTTGACAAACCACTATGGTCTTAAATGCTTTTTGAAGGGCACTTACAGTATAATTGTAAACTCTTTCCTACAGCTGTAACCAATTTTATGCCATATAAATGAGAGATTTGTGGTGAAAGGGCTCACAGAGAAGGGTTAGTCGCTTGTGTTGACATCAGTTATGTCTTGGGATGGTGGTGTTGAGGGTGGGGGGGAAACTCACTTCGGGGTTGAGGTTGGAGACGAGGAGCACAGAGTGGATGGTGGTGGGGGCCATGCCGTGGATGGTCATCCGTCCTGTCATTGCTGATGAAGGGATGGTGAGAGGTCCCAGAGCACCAGGCATCGTCTGCATAGACAGACCTGAGCGGAGCGCAGCCCGGCGGGAGGAGGGCAGATGGGGAGAGGAGACGGGAGAGGAGGGGTAACGTAAGAGAGAGGAAGGGAACCTACTAGAACAATCGTCCGTTTTCATAACCTGTTGCCGCTCTTTCAGATAAACAACATAATGTCTTCTTGTAATAGCTTATTAAATCAATGTGTTCAGGCATGCTGGGTAAATTTAGTCCAAATGAGTATTGAATTGGATGGTCGGGGTAGTAAGAGGTTTAAATAAAGCCAGCAGAGATCAGGGTCAGGAGTGTGAAAACAGAGCCAAGCTTGAGGGTGAAACAGCATTCACAACATGCTTAATATGTGAAGGACAAATTATTTGAATTGAGGGAAAAAATATTCAGTGGTAAATAATGTAGGATGGGAAGATCTGATATTAAAATACTGATATATTTGTAATGATATTAATGGTACTTTTATTTGACTGAGGCCTTGATTATGCCATAATTTTTGTGACAGAAGTGGAGAAAATTATTTCATTTGGAACAACTCGAGGGTGAATACATGTTTAATTTTCAATATGTTAAATAATACACTTCTGTTTGAATGTTTGGGGTCTGTATGATTTACAAAAGTTAATAATTTTATTTGGCAAGGATGCATTAAATTGACCAAAAATAAAGACATTTATAATGTTATAAAAGATTTCTATAAAAAAAAATGTTGGTTTCCACAGAAATATTAAACAGCACAACTGTTTTCAACTTAATAATAATAATAATAAGAAATGTTTCTTGAGCAGCAAATCAGCATATTATTATGATTTCTGAAAATGATGCTGAAAATTCAGCTTTGCATCGCAGAAATAAATTTCATTTATTACAATAGAAAATAATTATTTTAAATTGTAACAATATTTCATAATATTAATGTTTTACTGTATTTTTGATCAAACAAATGCCACCTTGGTGAGGAAAAGTGATTTCTTTCAAAAACATTTTAAAATCTTACAGACCCCAAACTTTTTGACAAAAAAAAATGTTGGTTTCCACAGAAATATTAAACAGCACAACTGTTTCCAACTTAATAATAATAATAAGAAGAAATGTTTCTTGAGCAGCAAATCAGCATATTATTATGATTTCTGAAAATGATGCTGAAAATTCAGCTTTGCATCGCAGAAATAAATTTCATTTATTACAATAGAAAATAATTATTTTAAATTGTAACAATATTTCATAATATTAATGTTTTACTGTATTTTTGATCAAACAAATGCCACCTTGGTGAGGAAAAGTGATTTCTTTCAAAAACATTTTAAAATCTTACAGACCCCAAACTTTTTGACAGCAGTGTATTTAACTCATATTAAAATTTTAAATTATAACATTTTTAAATAAATATTATGTGATTAATATTAAATGTTGTCTTTAAGAAAACATTAATTAAGACTTAAGTAAAGCTGCACAGTGACTTTAGATATTACATTTTATTATATGAAAAATGTAATTAAAGAGCAATGTAATACACTTAAATTGGATGCATTGATCGCATCAATCAAAACGGTGCGAACCAATCAATAGCCAATTCCGAATGCAAAGCTTTCAAGCTGTTTTCAAATGTAACGTCAATACTTCTGTTTGTGTTAGTCCCTCTTCACTTTGCTCATTTTGCTGGTGTCAGTCTGCAGATGCGTCTTGCAAGTGGCTCAGGTAATGACACTGTAATACCTCTGTTATTCAGTCTGAAGACTGTCGTGAGCCGCACGACGCTGCCTCCATTACTGAGATGAGATGTGAGAGTGTGACTGTGTCGGAAAGCTTACCTGCCTGATGGAAACCGATAGCAGGGGCGAAACCAGCCGCCCCGGGGTATGGAGAGGAAATTATCCCAGGAGCCCCTGCGCACACACACACACACACACAGACACACACACACAGGGTCAGCAACTGCAAACAACTGATTTATAAAATGAGAGCACAAGCACATAACAGGATAGTGATAGCAGTGTGTGTGCATCTACACTGACATAAATGACACCTATTCTTGAGGCAAAAGATTTTAATTAAAAAACTAAAATTCATTTTGATATTTCTTCGGGGGTGTAAAATTATACTTGTATCATTGTGATGCAACTGCTTTGATAACAATAAAGATAAAAGCATTGTTACCAAGATAAAAAATAAACCTATATATATATATATATATATACAGTGGGTACGGAAAGTATTCAGACCCCCTTAAATTTTTCACTCTTTGTTATATTGCAGCCATTTGCTAAAATCATTTAAGTTAATTTTTTTTCCTCATT